TTTGTTCAAAATTACAATGTTCGGATAAATCAACAGAGTTCCTAAATGACTAAAGTCGTATTTGACGCGGCTAGATGTATCACCAATACTTCGCGTATTCTTTTCGATTTTTTCAAAATTCAGAATACCGTTTCCATTTGAAAAAAAAATGTTTCATGTGAATGAGTTTTGATTATGAACTTCAAATTTCTGGATATCATACATAGATTATTGGTATCCAAGGAGAAGTTACAATTGAAAGATTATTGTCGCGGTACAGTTAGAGTTGAGTTTCAATATGAAGTCACAATTATTAACGAATATTTGATTTTATTGGTTCAATCTCAACTGGAAAATGGTATGATTCATGAATACATCTAGATTCATGACTATTGTATCGCTGTTGATAAGTAACGTTTCATTGCTTTGAGACTCTGTTTAGGTGGCCTAGTGTTAAATTTTTGCAACATTTTATCAGTTTGAAGGTAGTAATCGAAATGAATGCTACAAAACCTCAAAATGTTATTGATACATTTCCATTTTTAACGGCAACTGTGTTACTCAGCAATACCATGCGAGCAACCAATATGATAAAACCCGTACGATGAGTGGTTTCATCTATTGCTACTGCTTGATTGTTATCGCTCAAAGAAAACAAAGTTTATATGAGATAATTTTTTGAACTGGTGGTATTCGTAAAGATTATCTCAATGAATATTCACAACATCGATGATACAGGTGATTCCTACAGAAGAGTTGAATTTTGTAAAATCTTCTCAAAACCATAATCCACATGTTTTCCAGATGAATATAATACCTTCAATCCGATTGGGCCAAGTGGATCGTCAAAATTTTCGATTGCGGAATAACTCAAATTCCAATATGGCATGCCAAATTCACACTCAGTATCTTCAGAAAGTTAATATTTAGGTTGGAATTTTTAGTGGCCATGTTTGAAAGAAAGATATGCCAAATAATCAAGTTCCACCAATCATCAACAACGGCATTCAGTTAGATATTTTATTGCGATATCGGATAGTTTTTTAACTGGATAAGGCTCCTCTTCATTGCATAGTACCAATGCAACAGTTCCTCGATAGGGCGAGTTTCCATAGAATGGCTACTTAGATCTATCGATTTTATCTATAAGGATAATTGCAGTCAAAAGTTTTCGAGACACAGCCAACTACTGTATTTACTTTACGACTCATATGCCATTTTCATTTCGAAACGAGAACGTCAAAATGTCTCTATTAAGGTGATGTTTCAATTACAGATTCATGTATAAAATTTGTTCAATACATTACACCGCATCAGCTGCAAACTTAGGATAAATGAAAGCAAAGANAAGCATACAACAAACAACAGGTTTGTCGTCGCCCCATCTGCCTGTGAACGAGATAACCAACTGCATATCCGAAATTTGCCCAATTCCTCGTATAAGGAAAGAACACTTTCACATATAGTCAGTGGGCATACTTGAAGACTGGCTATAATTCAAATTATGTAAGAACAATTCGTTCAGGCCAGTCTCAACTCCCTACACAGTAGGTTAATGAACTAACAGTCATTGTTCTTAGATAATTTGATTTATAGCCAGTCTACTAGTATGCCCACTGACTATATATGAAAGAAAGTTATGACTATCTTGCCAATTGTTTTTTGTAAAAATGAGGATCGAAACGTTGTTTTATTAAACTCTTGACATTTTCATAGGAATAGATTATTTTCAGCTTTCTCAGACGTGCACTAACGAAATGAATTGGATAACAATCCAATAAAGAACATCAATTACGGAAATTTTGAGCGCGAAAGTCAATAGGCATTATGGAACTCAGGTTTTTCCGTGAAAATCTAATGAGTACCTAATTAGCACTTTATTCTCATGCCCTTATTTATTGAGGAACGTACTGTAAGAACTCAGTTCATCAGTCATAGTGGTTTTCAGATCCATAAACCCCATAGGCATTATGGAATCTAGGTTTACTATTATTTATCTAGTGAGCATCTAATTAGCACTTTATTCACTTGCCCTCATTTATTGAGAAACGTACTATAAGAAAGTCAGTCCATCAGTCATAGTGGTCCATAGATTCCATAAGCCTCATAGGCATTATGGAATCTAGGTTTACTATAAATATCTAGTGAGCACCTAATCAGCACTTCATTCTCTTGCCCTTATTTATTGAGGAATGTACTATAAGAATTCAGTACATCAGTCATGGTAGTTTTCAAGACCATGAGCCCCATAGGCATTATATAATCTAGGTTTACTATGAATATCTAGTGAGCACTCAATTAGCACTTCATTTTGATTGTCTATGTATGAGTTTACGAGAATTTCAAGACTTTTTTGTATATTGTTATTTTTTTTTTCTGAAATCAAGTATCCCGAATCTTTTTTGCTTATTCACGATCGTTTTCATCTTAATTTCTTGCAAGCACCTAATTAGCACTTTGTTACCACGCTTCGTTTATACCTGATTGAGCATTCGTCCTCGTTTTCGAGAGACCTGATTCTTAGATCTATTTAGCGAAATTGGATTTTTCTCGATGCATGAAAATGATGAAAACGTTGTTGAAGACCAATATGAATGGACCTAAATCAGTGTTGATGACAACTACTGTCAACAATAATATTTTTGACATGTAATTATAATTTTGGGACCTCAAGATATTTTGAGTTTCGGAGTTTTTGAAGCTTATATTATAGTTTCCTCTTCATTGAACTTCTTTGGGCATTTTCACAATCTACAACATGAATAATATGGAAAATATTTTAATTGACAGGGGTATATTTTTACAAATGATTCATTTTTGGGAAATACAAAGATGTTTAGTTCATGCAAAAAAGTGACTTTCAGACACAAACAAAAAAAAACCGTATGGAAACAATTACTTTCATATTTAATTTGAATTATATGGGAAAAATACTTTCGCAACAACTACTTTCACGTGAGCATTGGATTAGACAAAAATCAATTTTTCAATTCAGTCTGTTCTCCAAACATTCATTATGGTATTGAATCAGATACCATTCACAGGATTGCTACACAACATAGTATCTGAAAGAGGGAAAATGTCACTTACATGGAACACTGTCATGCTCAATGGCGGACATACAATGATTCGAAATAAGACACTTGCCTTATTACCTCTTTAGCACCAATCTGGATAGCATTACAAAATGAAGCACTCAATTCATTCATAACATTGCGACTCCATGCCTAGAATGAGTTGAATGGCACTACATAATGATTCATACGCCTCATTTGAGTTGATGCCATAGAGTCGTGGTGTTATGAATGAATTCAATGTTCATATAAAAGAAGGTATTTCAGAAGTATTTTCCTATTCGTGTGATTCAATTTTTATATGAAAATAAACTCTGTCCATCCAAGCAACGTAGTGCTGCAAAACATTACCCAGAGAAGGCTGATTGTACAGAGTCGCACTAAAGAACGACCGAATTTTTCATTATAATATGCGGCTAGGTATAGGAAACTGATTCAAAGTTCAACTGATGAAGAAAACAAAAATAATTTTGGGTATGTAACATAAAACGAACTACAAAAAACTAGGGTTATGTCATTTCAGCAGGACAAACAGATAAACAGTTCTTGATTTCGAAATGGCGTTTTATCGTATGAATTAAAATAGTAATAATTAAATAACAAATCATTCTGTCATTCTGGACCCGGTTATTTGGTTTATAAAGAACTGCTATTGAAAAAATCATCATTGAGATTGATTATCAACTAAATAATTCATTAGATGCACTAATTTTAACATTTCCACTTCTAGTTTATCTTCCACATGCCCTACACAATTATTTCATTTTTCAGCGGTAATAGACGGAATATCTTCACTAAAAATATTTTTAAGATCACAAAATTCAAAAGTAGTATTTTTTTGGCAACATAGTTTTTTATGTTCACCCAAATAGGCTCTATTGGATTGAACTCGCAGTGGTAAGGAGGAAAACGTAATACTATTCTATTATGTGTTTTAGCAATTTCGTCAACAATGCATTTATTATATTTGGTGTTATCGTCGAATGGTATACTTTTTAAACGCATCAAGTCTTGAATTACAGTTTTTTGTGGCTTTAATAGCGTTGTCTTAAACAATTATACGTAGGTACTATGGAACTATGTTCCTTAACCAATTCTCTGAAGAAATGTCATTTCCTCATGTTAGTCGACCTTTTTTTTTGACTTGGAGGCCCACAAAGTGTCGGGGACAAAATTGGTTTCACGTCTTATGTGACATACTATCAACCTTTTTTTTTGTTCCTGAAAAAGGATTCATTTTGTTATAGTTGAAACTAGAAAAGTGTTTTTTTCCATACGAATAACATCACATAACAATAAGAAGTTAACTTGTTCACAAACATACGCGGTTTCTTGAGAGTATAATGAGGTGATTCTTATCAACTCAAATTTTGAACTTAGTTTTACCCACGTTTCATCCAGGTGATACATTTTTCTATTTTCTTTTCTAAAGGCTCCTGTTTTCATTGAATATTGTCGTCTCCACAATACTATTTCTGGTTTCTCGAGCAACAAACTATTTATACCCCTTTTTTTTTATTTAAAACTTATTTTTTTAATAACTCGTGAAATATCAACCTTGTGAAATTTGGTAGATCAGGAACATTGTTCACGACTTTTAGAACTACTTCAGACATTTCGAAAATTTCATACTTTAAAATACCGTATTTGTACACACCATAAGCGTTAAAACGTAACTGACCACTCCGACAGTCTGCGATATATCTGAAACAATGAATTTCGCCAGCCGATTGCAGTTAAATCTGATTGGCCAGCGTGATGAGGCTTGTTTATTTTACCCAATAGATGAAAATGTGCGTGGTGATCATGCTTTGATCACACATCTATCGTTGTTTGGTTTGCTTTTTCTGTTGGATGGATATAGTTCAGTTATTTGGAGAAATGTGTAAGATTTTATTGTCTTTTATATCCCTTTTATGATTTATATGTGTTAACTTTTGTTCTCAGAGTTCCAGCCCCACACGTGGTTGCTGCAAGAGCTTACAGAATATCCAGTCCTGGAAGTAGTACAACAGCTTTGTTTAGAATAGGAAAATTACTGAACCAAGGGGGTTCAAAGAGCCAAAGAAATGTGTAAGATTTTATTGTCTTTTATATCCCTTTTATGATTTATATGTGTTAACTTTTGTTCTTAGAGTTCCAGCCCCACACGTGGTTGCTGCAAGAGCTTACAGAATATCCAGTCCTGGAAGTAGTACAACTGCTTTGTTTAGAATAGGGAAATTGCTGAACCAAGGGGGTTCAAAGAGCCAAATGGTTGTGGACGATTCTAACGTCTCACGGAGACTAAGTTGGGAGAGGTGAGTATAATAGAGCGTGGATTACGGGTGATTGTTTTGTTAAATATCCCTTTTGCTCAGGAAAATACCACGAGAAATACCATAAAAATATTCCAACAATAAAGAATTAGTGATTTAATAATTAGATGAATATCTACGAATGAAATGAAAATGAAATGAAACATATACGTTGATGCACCCTAACAAACAGGGATTTATTTTCCGAAGCACCGATGTTTTCCGAAGCACCGGATTTTTCCAGAAAATGTTTTTGCGCGAAAATTCTTTAACTCATATGCCATTTTCATTTCGAAACGAGAACGTCAAAATGTCTCTATTAAGGTGATGTTTCAATTACAGATTCATGTATAAAATTTGTTCAATACATTACACCGCAACAGCTGCAAACTTAGGATAAATGAAAGCAAAGAAATTCACAATCACAGAGTCAGGGATAAACTGCTTGCCAATCCCAACGAGTCTAGATCCTTCTGGTCGGAACCTGAAGCTGTTAATCAGAACTTTACAAAATCCACAATTCTACCACTAACACAAACGGATGGTTCAATTGCAACAACAGCCGTAGAAAAAGCAAATCTACTAAAGTTCGTTCAGTATTGTCTGAGAGTAAAAGAATTCCAAGAATGCAAACATGTCGCTACATCAAAGAAAGCAACATAGTCGTCTCAAACAGATAGCATTGCAATTCACCCACAAAATCATTGAGATATGTCTACCCTCTATATCCCTTGAGGACACCGCTAACGAGCCATTAAAATAGGGATATGCGACAAAGAACGCGAAAATACCGACAAAGAATGCGAAAATACCGCCNCTGAGATTTCAAACCGATTGTGTTATTCAATTGACCTGGATTGTGAGAATTTAAATTTTGTGTTATGTGCTATATAAAAGATTTTTGTAAAATTATTTTTATCATTTCTAGAGGCTATGTCACGCACAAGGAGCAATCTTGCGATTGTCTCTTCAGTGATGCCATTGTTTATTGTTCATTTATTCAGCTCTCAAGCACTACTCATATAATTGTTCTATTTTGTTATTGTTCTGTAATTTACACACACACAGGGTTTTACCTTCAGTGGAAGTATCCGTTTATTCATCAAGGTATATTGTACTTCATATACTTCATTTTATATTTATGTATTATGATTTGCTGATGAATAAATTATGATTGTTATATGCCATTTCCATTTCGAAACGAGAACGTCAAAATGACTCTATTAAGGTGATGTTTCAATTACAGATTCATGTATAAAATTTGTTCAATACATTACACCGCATCAGCTGCAAACTTAGGATAAATGAAAGCAAAGAACTTCACAATAAGAGAGTTAGGGATGAACTGCTCGCCATTCCAAACGGGTCTACATCCTTCTGATCGGAACTCGAAACTGTTAATCAAAACATTACAAAATCGACAAATCCACCACTAACACAAACGGATGGTTCAATTGCAACAACAGCCGTAGAAAAAGCAAATCTACTAGCTGAACAATTTGCGTCCCACTCCACAGTCGATTTTCTGGAAAGGGCACCGCCCACTACTCCCACACTAGAATTCACAATACCGGAAATTACTTTTCGACAGCGTCTAGTCAGGCGTTATTTCTTCTTCTTGGAAAATTATTCGCGTTCAGCCTATCCCCGAAAAGGGCCAGAAAAATCTTCCAAATAACTATAGACCTGTCCCTTTGCCATCAGTGATATCAAAAATCATGAAGAAAGGCGTAAACCACCATATCCTCAAATTTATGGAAGACTTCAACATCTTCAGCGATCATCAGACTGGCTTTCGGAAACAACAGCCTTTAACAAACGACCTTATGTCATGTGTCACCCATATTAGGAATAATGCAATCGAGAAACATGAAGAATCAAGAGCTGTTGCGCTTGATATTTCTAAGGCCTTTGATCGTGTGTGGCATGAGAATTTGCTGGCCAAACTTCGATGCTATGGCTTGTCGGATCATTTATGTGTATGGCTCTTCAGCTTCCTGAAAGAACGTTTCCTGCAAGTGACCGTCGATGGATATCTCTCGAATACTTTCACCATAAACGCTGGTATTGCCCAGGGATCCATAGTGTCTCCAACCTTCTTTTTATTGTATGTCAACGACTTATTGAGAAAAAGCAAGAATCCAATATATTGCTTTGCTGACGACAACAGACTTGTTTCGTCAACCTTTTGTGTCCTTGCAATTTGACTTGCAATTTACGGATATTGCGGGTTGTGCGCAGTTTGTCGCTTTAGTGCGTTTTGAATCCAATGAAAAATTAATGGAAGAAATACTATTTTGCAAAGCCCTTCCCTCAAACAGTACAGGTCAGTGTTTGCATAACATGATTTTTGAAGCTACGCAAGATATGAATATCGATTGGGAAGAAAAATGCATTGCTATTTGTGGTGATGGAGCAAAAGCTATGACTGGTGCAAAAAAGTGGATTTATTGCTAGATTGAAAGAACAAATGCCGAACGCTTCTTGGATGCATTGCTTTGTTCATCGCCAAGTTCTTGCGGCCAAAACCTTGCCACAGGAATACAGTCAAGTTCTAAATATTATTATAAAAATTGTAAATTCAATTAAAGGAAAAGCGTTGCATCATTTTTGAAGACATAAAGGCACTCCACCAAAATTTACTTAACCATACAGAGGTTAGGTGGTTGTAGTATTGACCATCAGAGTTATGGTACTCCAAGCTGAACGTTTAATATATTTACAGCAGACCAAGTCGGAATACTCTGAATTTATTTGTAACCCGGATTTTCTTTTAAAATTCTTTCTGACGTATTTGATTATTTCAATATCTTGAATAGAAGTCTTCAAGGGCGAGATGGAAATGTCATCACTGCAAAAGACAAAATACGTGACTTGACAAAGAAAATTGATACAGTCTTATATTGAAGAAGTCGGATGTGAGATAAACATCAAGGAGTATATATATCCTGGTATGAAAACGGTGTTAGATAATTTGAAAGAAGATTTATGTCGTTACTTTTCTGTGCAAGAGATATCGGAAAACACTGAGCAAAGGTGGATCTTGAATCCATGTTCAACTGCAGCTATAAATAAAGCGAATTTAACAACTAAGCTCAAAGAAAATCTGCTGGAAATATCTGTCGATGGCATGTTACACTTAGAATTCAAGTCTGTCAATTTGGGTAGCTTTTGGTTAGAAGCCACCTCATATTTGTGCTAGTTGATATTTTCATCAATGGCACAAATAAAAAGCAAGCAAAGAAATCGCTTGAATTTAGAAATGACTTAATTCTCAATGTAGCAAACACGGAACCACGATGAGAAACATTGATTGATCGAAAACAAGCGCAACCTCCGCATTAGGAGTGACAAGTAGACGTAGGCTTTAATTTTTTGTTAATTTGTTTGTATTAAAGCGTACAAATTTTTACCAGTATATGCTTTTTAATAACAACATTTCCTTAATAAATCTATCTTTATAAACTTTAATAATTTTTACTGAGGTAGTTTTTTATCCTTGCGCGACCCCCTACAGAAGCATCGCGACCCCCCAGGGGGTCGCGAAAGTCGCGGTGCTCTGGAACATCGAAGAAAGATTGGAGATTTGTCTCTCATCTATAGATACTCTCACAGAAAGTGTTCATATGACTTGGCACATTTGATTCCACCAAGAACGGTACATATCAGAAGTACGCGACGGACTGTGGCTGCTTATCGTTTTGAGGTTCAACTCAGTATACCTTGAACTTCACTATTTGAGAACTCTTCCATCTGAAGAGCTGCGTTTATGTGGGATAAACTTCCTTAGAACGTTTCACCAAATGGATTCAATCTCCAGCGATTCAAATCCAACGTGAATCGCTACTTTCGCACAGGTACCGCTCGTAGAGCGCATTAAAAAAAAGTTAGCAAGAAGCAATACAAATTCCTGTCTTCAATGTTCTAGAATATCAATGTTACTTTTGATGTTTGGGTTTTCAATTAGGCGGATGACTTTTTAATAGAATCAATCAATCGGTTAATCAACTTTATTATCTGGGATCCATTACAAGCATGGAAATCGTGGAAAAAACACACAAAGTAACAATACACAATGAGTACCAATCGGTTAGTGAAATATTAGAATCTTTGTGGCCACATGTTTGGAGCCGAGCTCCAAACAAGATCTCGTTGGAGCCTCATAAATTGAGAAGATTTGAATATAATTCGAGTTCAAAATAATTGGGAAAGAAAGTTTTTGGCTTTCTACTACTCCTTCTCGATACTTTCTTTCAGTTCGTGTCTGAAAGTTACTTCTTTGCATCATCTACACATCCATGTATAGAGTTACTTATTTTTAAATTGATTACTTCCTACTTCCTTACTTTCTTTGGAAGATTCCCTCATCCTTTTTACTTTCTTTCCCAAACATTAATCACTCCTAAAAATATAAACCCTCCAATTTCAAAATAATGTTATGACTTTTTTATTTACTTTGAGTGTTATGATTGGGCCAAAACGTATTGGTATCCAATTTGATAATTGAAAAATTAATCGACATATTCAGCTAAATTTTCAGTCCTAAGGTCACTATATCGAGTTATGCACATTCACCTTCTGACGTAAAATTTATGCCTGAGTTTTCTCAGCATTACATTTCACTTGGTTTCTGTGAGTTGATACTGTAACTTTTTTCATATCTTCATATACAGCATTTTGTTGCCGGTAAAAATGAGCTTCGAACGAGTGACGTTCCTGCATCAAAATCAAAGTATGCCTATTGATTTTTACTATAAAAATAAAATTAAAAATGAGTTAT